AAAAAGTACCTTTGTGATCTGCTACAGCCTCCCCCTTCAGTCTAGCTGCAGTAACGCAGTAACAGGAGACACAGAGAGACGTCCAGTGCAGTTAGAAAGCATGGAATGGATCAGATTGCATCCGAGATGTGGAAATCATGAACAACTGGCTTAAAAAATAAAGGAGAAACTAAGATGATTTATAAAGGATAAACTCAAGAGATAAGGGGGGAAAGGAAGGGGGGGAATCTTGTTTATCTACAGTTATTTAAATGTTTTGATTAATCATTTATTATCACTATCAAAGCAACTATAGCACCAAGACCAATATGGCAATGTGGCCAGTAGAGGATGCTGTGGATGTGGATAAGGACTGGAAGTTCCAAAGAAGGACTTAATAGACACAGAGGGCCAGGAACAACTGAAATCACAGCTGCTTATAGATTATGAACACAAATGCACTGATTCAAGACGAGGCCCAGATTAAATTAGAAACATCTTTGCTTACTTTTCTTTCTTCTTTTTTCCACAGACAAAGAGTGAACTGAGCCAAAGGGATCAACACTCTCTTAATGTGCTTATTGTACTGTTACATGGGCAGCAGCTTGTCTCTGGGGCTTTACCCTCTGCAGGTCGTATCAGAGGGTTCTTATTGCGCTCTTGACATTTATACCTCGTGGAGGCCAGGCTTGAGTTTCTGGGCCTGAATGTGACGGTACAAAAATTACCTTTAAAAAATGCAGCAGTATGTATTATTTGACATTGTTAGTAGATCTGCATGTGCAGCCACCACACAGAGAATAAAAGCTCATTAAATGACTTTAATGTAACTTTAAAAGAACATTAAAAATTAAACGTTTTTTCTTGTCTGTTTCCTGATAGTGCAGAAATGTTACAAATGTCTACACGGGGAACTTAACACACCTCTTTAGCCCCCTAAAAATAGCCATGTGCCGTCACCTTGAGGCCTAATAATCAGCTGATTGTGAAAACAACCGGTTTAATTCCCTGAAAGCTCACCCACTGCCTTCCTTCTTATCCCCCCGAGCATATGATACACTGGGTCAACCTTTATGAAAGGAAAGCCAATAATGCCATCCCACAATGGGACACACTATCCACTTGTTTACAATGCAAGAATGGATGTGAGACATTGTTATTCAGGTGACCCTCTTTATTCATGATGGCTAAACATAAAAATGCAGTGTGAGTGCAGTCAGATCGCGTGTTACCGAGTCCTCTCTGAGATCTCATCCTTCGCCACTGTGGACAAAAAAAATCTGAGGAAAGACACAGAATGTAATTTTTAGCTCAACCGGCCTAAAGACAGACGAGCCCACGCCGTGACACATCCGTCATCCCACCGGTTCATCTGTAGTTCACAAAAATTGCTACTCCTACAAACACAACGATCACCTAATGGGGTTTTTTACTCCTAATGTACAGAACAAGATGCAATAGTTAGCCCGGTTGCCTCACAGAAAGAAGGTCCTGGGTTCAAATCCCCCATATGGCCGGGGCCTTTCTGTCTGGAGTTGTTCTTCCTGTGTCTGCGTTGGTTCTCCACCTTCACACAGGCCAAAGACATGCAGTTAGTGGGGTTGATTTAATTGGTGATTCTAAATCATAGGTTGACTGTACCGGTTGTCTCTCTGTGTTAGCCCTGCGACAGAGTGGCGACCTGTCTAGGGTGTAGTCTGCCTCCCAACATATGGCAGCTGAATAAGAGCCAACAACAGAATGTATGTATGGAAAATGATAAAGAAGGAAAGTCATCAAATGCCAAATACTGATCATGGAGGGAGTGGTCCAGTGCAGCGACATGCCGTTCACATATTTCCATGTATGTTATGGTTACTACTGATAATACTCTTGAACTTTGATTAATTCGGTGAATTAGATTGAACTGTTCAGGGTATGAGCTTACTGGATTTCTTTGTATCCTAATTCTCATTGGTTTGTGCAACACAGCCAAACAAGTATCACCGTCTTTCTGTGGAGTTGTTACACCTCTGCTTTTGACTGAACTCTCAGGAAAGTCCTGCCTAATCCTGAGACTTTTGTTAAAGGGTTAAGAAATTCAAAATCCCTGTCTTGGGTAGAGCTTTGCTGTTTCATATTTTTGTACCATTTGTGCAGCCAACACAAGCATATTAAGACGCCTAAAGTTTATTTGTCTTTTATTCAGCTATTCGTAGTTAAATTGTGTACTATTTTATTTGTTTGAGTTTATCATTATTCTTAATTGTTTCTCTTTCACTTGAGTGATTTCAAGAACAGAGGAGCTTTGGAGAACCAGAGTCAAAGGCCTCTATCGCCCTCGTGTGGTTGAAAGGTGAAGCTTGTGGGCTCTGAGTGGATATTTTGTACAGCACTATACTAAGTCGAATATTGTACATTTCATGAAAGCAAATGTTTAAAAAACGTAAACTACCTCATTACAAGACACCAAAATCCATTTTATCAGACATCAAAAAGCTGTGTTTACATTTCCAACAAATGGATCACTGTATAGTCAAAGAGAGCTGTGCACAGATCTCTCCTGGCAACAAGTAAATTAATAACCGAAGGAGCTCAAAATAAAGACAAGACTATCACAAGTGAGGGATCATTAAACTACGTTAAAAAGCAACTTCTTGTCAGGTAATCACATTTTCTGGCTTAGTTTCTGTCTTCTAAAGGTTGCAATTTCATGGTGCTTATTCTGTAAATACCTAAGTTTAATATCTGTATCAAAAGCCTGTATGGGGTTTGTCTCTTAACCCTGCATATGCAAATATTACACAGTGAAATTGAACACCATTCGGCATGTACTGATTTTATTTTACCGAAGTGCTGCAATCTTCTCCAGTGAAAGAAAATACACTACTTTCATTCTTCCGACTGTCCATCACCGCACAACACAACATCACGACTGCAGCCTCCTCTCGCTCCTCAAGTCATCCATCACTGCCACCCAGGTGAGTGAGAATAGAGTCAAACGTCGAGCCGTGACAGCTTGAACCCCGAGGTGCTTGAATCATCTGCCACTCAGCTTGCAGAGGCTCTCTAACACCTCTGCAATGTGTTCCTGCAGCTGCACCAGGTGCTTGGAACCTGTCTGGTTCCAGAGCCAAATAAAGGGTCCAGACCTGCAGGACTAACACGCTGTCATTCATGAGTCAGCTCCGATGAGACTTTCTCTGTGCTTCCAGTCTCCATGTTCATTAGAGCTCCACACCTGCAGCTCTCATATTCCCTGCAGATGTGAGTTACTTTTAACTCCTGTGAAAACACTTCACAGAGCCATAACTCAGGTGGTATTTACTATTTAAGTGCAAGTAACAACACAAAGAAACATGAATAGTATCCATTTCTGTTGAGATGGGTTTTTTTACAGCTTTAAGGTGGAAATAACAACCTTAAAGGTTAATCGTGATCTAACCAAAATGTCATCTTGCCTTTTGAGTGAGTTCAAGTTATTGAATATATTATATTACATG